GAAACTCATAATGTAGTGGCTTGTCTGACCATGATTTTCGCACAGAATGCTGTAAGTTGAGACCTTGGCTCAGCCTGGTAGACTTCAACCACCTCACTGTTCTCGTTCTCTCCCATTGAACCTTTGCTATAGAGGCGAAACTGTTTCTCCCTGCCTACCTAAGTTTGTGGTGATCTAGACTCAAGGCGAGATTGTAAGTACACTCCATCCTTAATAATAGATTATTGACATGACTCCCAGCTTGAGCCCATGAGTGAAGAAGAATGGAAAGATTGAAGAGGGAAACGCTGGTCATACCGTGATTGATGAAATTGCAATTCTTCCTAGATCTCCTGTTCAAGATGTGGCAATTTTGGTCATGATGTCCCCTCGGGGTGTTGGACTCATATGGCTATCCACAAGGTAAGATAAGGCGTTCGCAGGTCGTTCGATAAATGAGATAGAAATCATCTCGCAAGTCTGAGACAGTCATCATCAGCCTTCCATTCTATAAATTCGTTGACCGTCTATGACATACGTTAAGTGCAACGGTTAAGCCAACACAGCGCACGAACAATATAATATAATAGATGCACGCTGATAGGGGACGTAACTGTCAAAAAGCGACCGAGTTTTACGTAGTCAGGAGCAATAAATATACATAGAAGCATCCCGAACTATTGCCCTTTATGCAACCCTCTTATCATTATCCCAGGCGTCTGCTGCTACGAAGCAGACATGTCCCCCCCAAAAGGAATCCTCAATGTAGCGATGTCTAATAGTAAGAATACAGCCCAAACTGCCAAACCCCAGAGAGCAGAGTCATCATAAACTCGACTTAGAAGAGACCGTTCACAATCTTTCCTCCGAGAGTGGCACCCGCCCCAAAGATAGTGGCATTACCCAATTTCTTGCCGAACTTCTTGCCATTCTCCTCGAACTTGCTTGGGGTTTTGCTGGGGCCGCTATCGCCCTGCGCTACAGCCATGGGAGGTACGTGTGCGTTGTACGGGTTCTGAGCTTGGGGCGGGGGTGGATATCCTCCATTCCCTGCCGGAGTAGGTGTAGAGTACACTGGTTGCGGCGGAGCGTAGAACCCGGCCTTCTCGTTGTCTATTTCGACGTAGTTCTTGGGGAATATGCCCTCTGCGTTCGTCCGTTGGTTGCGTCCCATCCACCAATCATCGTTCATGTATTCGAACACAGCGATCTTGTCGTCGCGCTCGAACGATAAGTCTCGGTCGTCGGCTGCGTGGTACTTATAGAGCGCCTTGGCATGAGCGATAACCGGCTTCGATGGAGGTGGAGGTGGAGGCCCGGTGCGTGCAGGCAGAGAAGGCGGCCCAGTCGCGTTGTAAGCGGGAGGTGCGGGATGAGACGCTGGATTCTGATTGATTGCTAGGTTCGCCATCGAGTTGATAGGAGGTGATTGTGGTGCGTGCGCAGGCGGTGGATAGACAACTGAGGAAGCCCGCGCTGCAGGAGTGGGTGCGCCAGAGAGCGAAGTCTCCGCGGGAAGTATTCGGTGAATTGAATCGAACACATCGTCGGTCAGTACGCCTTTCTCAAGAAGATGCTCGAGCTCCTAAGGGTCTTGATTAGCAAGGACGGATATCACTCTACGAAAGACTAGATTGTGGAAATACATTTTTGATGAGCCGGAGCGATTTGTTGGTCGCGATGATTTCCTGACGGTCGACAGCTACCATATTGACGAAATGGATATATGTTGTGTTGTCAATACGTTGTAAAGAAAGGGAGTCGTCGAGAAGGCAACGATGGCCTTTATTGGATCGGGTCGGGCAGTCGATAGTAGAGGAACTTATCAACGTAGTCGCAATAAGTCCGCAGAGTTAGAACAAATCACTTAGGTAGGGATGGACAAAATAAAGATATGGTAATAGGATAGGAACTCAGTTAAAGTACTTTAGATGGATATTGTTTTAAGGTGGGTTGTTTGTAAAGAGATGGGAGGTAACTACAATAGTCCCGACCCCCCGCCTTCGGGTCCCTCTTTAAGTTCGTGGATGCGTAAAGGGGGCAGTGCATAGCGCATGACACGTGAGATCGTATATGGAATCCGACTCAACCCATTGGATACATGCACTTATAAAATAAATTCAAGTTCGAGTATAATGATAAAAATAATAATAGCTTCCAATTCATAAATATCCCGATAGGTATCTACGCCGATATCAATGTGTTGGCATCTAAAACCCCTATATAAATCAATCGCTGGCTTAAACGAAAGGGCTGTTCTTCACAACATATTTATCCACGTATTCGTCGATAGCCATCGCCTCTAGTTTCTTACCGTCCATTCCTAGTTCGACTAATTCCTTAACTTGCGACTCCGAGAAGTGCGGTCCCAGGTGTCTCTTGTACTTGGCCAGGATGTGCGGCTTGGCCTCCTCTCTCCTTAGACGGTGTCCCAAGGGAGCCTCAACCACTACCTCATCCAGAACGGTGCCGTCATTCAGCTCGACCGTCAGAGCGTTAGAAATGGTGCGCAGCTCCGGGTCGTGATAGTCCTTGGTGAACTGCGGGTCCTCAACACACTTGATCTTCTGGCGGAGAGACTCGACCAATGGGGACGTCGCCGCCTCGCCGCCGTCGGTATAGTCGGTTGCTTCCAGCCGCCCGAACACAAGCATCACCGAGCACATGTATTGGATGCAGTGGTCACGGTCGGCAAAGTTGTCCATCGGCTTAAACTGCTTGTCAATAATACGAATGCATGCTTCGTGCGTCCTGCACGTGATGCCCTTGATGTCGGCCGCCGATTTGCCCATCTCCTTAAGCTTGTTGTGAATCTTCTGGGAAGCCTCGACGGCCGTCTGCGAGTGAAATTCGGCTTTGAAAGTAAGTTAGCAGGATGTTGGTCTTGAAATTTCATGTGTGGTACGAACCTGGGTATGAGACCTTGAACAGGACGTTCTCCATCACATAGCTACCATAGGGGCGCTGGAACTCAAACTTGTTGCCCTTGAACAAGACGTCGTAGAAACCCCATACGGGCGCGGACAAGACGGTGGGGACACCGGGCTCGCCCTTCATAACCTTCAATGCAAGGTTGACAGCTCTTTGACAAGCGTCGCCAGCGGCCCACGACTTTCGGGACATGGTGTTCGGAGAGTGTCGGTAAGTTCGCAAGCTTTGGCCGTCGACCCAAGCCTGCGTGACGGCGTCGGCAATTTGCTTCTCGCTCAATCCAAGCATCTGAGACACGACTGCCGCGCTAGCAACCTTGACCAACACGACGTGGTCTAGGCCGACTTTATTATACGAATTAAGTAGTGCCAGGCAGCCCTGGATTTCGTGCGCCTTGATCATGCCCTCGAGGACATCCTTGACGGTGAAGATCCTGCCTCCCGCAAGATTACCGCCCGCCTTGTTAGTGCGGTTAACCCAGTCGGCAACAGCCAGAATAGCACCCATGTTGTCAGATGGGTGGCCCCATTCAGCAGCTAACCAGCAGTCATTGTAGTCAAGCCATCTGATCATAGCACCAATGTTGAAGGCGCCGTTGACGGGGTCGAGGACGAAGTCGGTACCAGGGACCTTAGTGCCATGGGGGACGACGGTGCCCGGGACAATCGGACCAAGAAGCTTGGTGCATTCTTTAAACCGGAGACCCTCAAGTCCACATCCCAGGGTGTCGAGGAAAACCCATCGCGCAGTGTCAAACTATAGAAGGTTACAGCCCAGTTAGCCCGACCTTTTATAAGGCTCTCTCTCATCGGTGGATTGAAAATAGACGAAGAGGGGTAACTAGGAGACCTACAGCTAATTCGGAGTCAATTGGCTTGGTGACGTAACTGGCGATATCCCTGACCTCGGGATCATACTCTCTAGCTTCTTGAGGCATTGCGGGAGCAGATTGTCGTGCGGTAGTGGTGGAGAAGGAAGATGAAGAGCGCAAGACGTAGGCGGGGTGTGTTGTAGCTCCGAGTTTGGCGGTTGCTGCCCGGGAAGAAACGCTGCGAGGAGCTATCCTCTGTAGGGTTGCTCTTGGTTGGAAGCGGAGTGATCGGGAAGCTGTTTGCAAACTACGGACAGAAGACATCTTGTCCTAACACACACACTCTCCGAATGGCAAGCACATGCGAAAGGAAAACTAGTACGACGAATTATGGCGGGACAAACATGTAAATATAAAAAGAAGAAAGTTACCAAGGTAAGCTTCCAAGGAGGCTGACTGGACCTCAGCTTATTCCCTCGGTACGGCGTACGGCTGCACGGTAGCTGGAACAAAAGTTCCGGTTACATACGGCCAATGGCGGGGCAGTAATGCCAATTGGCGGGGGAGAAACTTATGCCGGATGCTGTAAGCATCGAAGCTTTAGGGCTATGTATATTCCGTACCATATTGTAAAAAAAGAAAAAGAAACGGATGTCCCATTACCCCAAATGGTTGAATGGAGAGGAGATGAGATGAGATGAAAGGACCAATTAAATCAACAGTGAGGTAGATACTCACAGTATACTTCCTATACTAAAATAGGGAAGCTAGAAGTCACACCAAGATGGTACGGTGAGATGGCCGAGTTGGTTATGGCGTGAGGTTAAGGTCACCTTAGCATCTAATTCCTCATGGAGCAATCCGCGTGGGTTCAAGTCCCACTCTCATCAACGTTTATTTTTTTCATATTTTAAAGTCCTCATCCTGTAGATATTTAATCTTTTGTCCTTCCTCTCAACAACACCCATTAGCTTTTTGTCGGCTAACCTTCCATGTTGTGTTGTTTGTCATGTGCACGATCAACGGTAGCCATATATTCTAATCAACGTAACAGCTTGGTGGCCAAATTCATACTCCGATGTTTAAAGCCTCTATCCTCGGTTAAGATCGATATTTGATCGACAACAAAAGAATTAAGCCTCGGGTACTTCTTTCGCTACGTAATACACAATACATAATACACACCGACTATTGTGCTGCCTCAGGTACAACGCTACTTTCCAAGATGCTTCTAAAGGAGAAAAAGATAAAAATGAAAGCCAAAGGCAGAAACTATTTGTGACAAGAGTGGGACTTGAACCCACGCAGATTGCTCCATGAGGAATCGATGCTAAGGTGACCTTAACCTCACGCCATAACCAACTCGGCCATCTTGCCTATCATACGGTGTGGCCGGAATGATCCCGAGATATGCATCTACGGAGTATATCATTTTTGGTCGTAAGTCAGTCTATAGGTATTTGTTTTTGCTAAGCCAGCCATCTGTGGGTTTTCTAACGCCATATGCGAAGTGGGGTTGTTTGTAGCTAAACGGGGCCCGGCCCGCACACTAGAGCACAGCATAACCCTACCTAAGGTAAAGACCGAAGACGGAGCCGCAAACTATATACCTACCTCCTAGTAAGCTATAAGCTATAAGCTATATAGTCCTAATCCACGAGAACTACCATATATACCTAGGTAATCACCAATACGGGCGATGTTACCATTCACTGTGGTGAGTTCGTCATGGAGTCCTATGCTGAGGGATCTAAGATATGAGACATGATATTAGGACTCTGGGAGAGGAGGTTTCCATACAACAATCCATACAACAATGAGATTACTTGTGAAAAGATAGTAGAAGCTAGAGGCATATTGAAGGTAGAATGTCTCGTCTTTTCCTCGACCCAAAAACACATCGTACCTGGCACATCAACGCAAATATACGCCCATCTAAACCGTAGTGTCGTCAACTTTACCACACAACTGCCCCCCTAACATACCCACGATCGACTAGCTCTCTTAGGTTCCTTTCTAGGCACTTCCGCCTATACCCGTCCAGCCGCCCGCCGTCTTGGAGCCCTTCTACGATGTAGCCAAAATCGAACCCCTCCGACGTCCGGGAGCACTTGTCCAAGATCCTCCTCAGCACGGCGGTCCTACACCTCGGATCCCGGACTGCAGCGTCCAGGCTAAGCGCCAGCAAGGATTGCTTGGTTACGTCTACCTCATCATTCGCGTCCATGCCACCCCCCTTCTCCTTCTTGAGGCCCCGGATGATCTTCGCATACTCGTCCCTCAGCTCCCTCAGCACCCAGGGCGCGTCCTCGAACCTGTTAAACCCCTCCTGCGCCCTTTCTTCGCCATTCTTCCTCCGCCAGAATTCTGCCGGCGGCCGCCAGCGCCAGACGAACGGGTTGAAATCCCTGACGAGCCAGCACGGTAGCGCCTCGTTGCCGACGGATTTGGGAGCCGCGCGGACGCCGTCCCATCCTAATATTCCCTTGAGTGTACCGTCATCCGAGACGATGACGTTGCGCATGCTGAGGTTCGGGTGCGCAAGGACGAACTCCTTTTTCTTCCTCTCCTTTTCCTTGCCGCCTCCGTGTCCCAGACCCGTCGGCTCGCGTATGAGACCCACGAGCAGACGGAGCAGCCTGTCGACCCCTACGCATGATTCGATATCGCAGGGGTAAAGATCCAGCAGTCCCGTGTGCATCTCGGCTGCACCCGTGAACGGGCCCACGCTGGTGTACAGGGGCCCCCTTTCGCAATCTTCGTTGTCGAGCCAGCGGTCAACCATTGCCTGCACGTCGAGCTCTCTTAGGGGTCCCACGTCCACAAGGAATCCCTCACCGTCGAATACGGGCGCCCCACCGCGCTCGAATTCGTATCTGCCCAGCTGCAACATGGCTCGCGCTAGACCGTTCAGGACCTTGGTCCTCTTCTCCTTGATCTTCTCCTCGTCATCTCCTGGCTCTCCAAACCATACACTGTCTAGCGTCCGGCCCTCTATGAACTCCATAATGAGGTATGGGGCGTGGACCTCGTTATGGGGAGAGGAGTCGGCGTCGATGATCTCGGGCACGGGAACGCTAGTCTCGGTTTTTAATAGGTTGAGTGTAAGGGCCTCGGTGCGCATTGTCTCGGCGCTCAGCTTGTCCCAGATGTCAGGTGTGCCGTTGGCTGGGATCTTTATGATCCACTTGGTCCCGTCGTAGAACTCGATCGAGTAGAAGACATGGGCCGAGCCGAAGGACGGGCCGCCGACCCGGGGAAACGGTAGGGGTGGCAGGCTATAGTCGTGTACTTTCTCGTGGCGAGCTTGTAGGATGTCGAGCGCGAAAGAGGCGATGGTTGCCGTGTCGATCTGCGCCAGGATGCCGGCGAAGTCGCGGTAATTATTTCGGCGTCTCTTCCTCCTTTCCTCTGCTGTCTCTTTCTGATAAATATCTACTGGTGCCGCATCTACGAGTGCATCCTTGAGCGGAGGCAAGACACTCTTCTCTTTCGTAGCTAGTTCTGTGTTGCTCCACCTTACGTCCCATGGTGCCGACTTCGTCAGCTTGGTCAAGCTTGATAGTATCTTATTCGTATCCAAGCCGCCAATGTAGTCGGCGTGTGCTTGGGTTCCGTTAAATAACCAAGAAAATCCGAGGATCACGCCTATATCTGTATTATGATCTCGAGCGAGGCGGGCCAGTTCGGCTCGACGCTCAAACCGGGATCGCTCCACGAAGCTTGATGGGGATTCCGACATGTCTACCCCGGAAAAGATAATTTCATACAATGCCATTGAAGAGCTTTACAAGAAGTTGACAGTGACAAAAGGGTGTCCAAAATGCGGCAGATCGAGACAAAGAAGACTGTCTTCTCAACCATAATATATCTAGCGTCAACTTCCGTATCCGGAAGACAGAAATGCCAATGCCCTACGTAGAGACAGACTTTCACAAGATATTAGGTCTAGTCTTTTCTCTTCTCCCTCCTCCTCTATTACCTAGGTATGAAGTACCTCTAGTCTCTGGCGTGAGGGTATAATGGATCGATATTCTTCCAATCCAGGCTAGAACTCCACAACGCCGAAGCTTTCCATCTTTCTCATAACGCGTTCTTATACGACCGTAACAAGAAAGTAAGACCAGAGAATGGAAAAAGTACAAGTACACATGCTTGCACAGCAACTCCTAAAATACTCCAAAGCCGGCCGTCTATCCAATGAACGCGCCACGCGACGACCAAACCCGCCATCTAACTGTAAGTATGCCTGATACAAGACCAATTTAATGCGTGAGCGTTAAGTACACCATGCATCCTGATATGCATACTTATCGTCTACTAGCACACGCTCACCCCCTCCGTGACCGATTTCCAAACCAACCACTCGGCCATCGCGCAATTCGCATTAAGGTCGAATTCTACCGCGACCGATACCACCAAGCGCCAAGGCCGACAAGAAGGACGGTAACGAATACCATGATGCCCTGTTTCGACTGCGAGATCAGCATGGACCAGCCAATGGTAGATTCCCACTTCTTGACCATAGCCCGATGTTCCCAGGACCGAAAGTCGACGGAGAACGGCAGCTTGATACGCGGATCTACGGGCTCACTCCCAACAGCACTCTGCTCTCTCTCGCACGCAACCTGGGTTGGCGCGAGACTATCAGGATCGAGCATGGGGACTTCCAAGCGTAAGAACACCGCTCTGTGGTCGCTGGACCTGACGGCAGGCAAAGCGTCATAGGTTGTGATTTTCATATTGGATGCCTCACTGACGCCCTCTCGAACCCACCAGGGTATGTCGAGGAACAATATACGGTCGCACCAGCCGGGCCATCTGTGACGAGCCCATGACCACTTAACCTCGTCCACGTCGTCTTCTTCGTCTCCAATACGACCGAGTTCTGTCTGCGGTTTGGACTTGGGTGATGCTACCAGCTTGTAAGTCGGCGGGAATTGGATAGCCGCCTCGCTCAAGCCATGTAACGTACGGCCGGCTCCTTTCTCTGTAGCGAGTTGGTCACGTGATAAGAAGTTAGGAAAGTAATTTGGGCTTTCCGGGTCAGTCTCGGGAAAAGCAGATCCAGGGGCCGGTGCTGTCTTAGATAGGCGATAATTCAGATCGCCAGCAACAAACAGGTGGGCGCCCGGCTTATAGATAGAAATATCATGTAGGCCCTTTTCAGTTGAGTTGTGTCTGAGGAGACTCCGTTCCTCTTCGGAATTCTCAGAGCCCTCGAGCGTAGGTTGTAGTGATGGACGTTCTGCAAATTTCTTAGGGTCCTCAAATAGGAGACCGGAGACAATGCTCTCCCAGTTCTTGTTTCGTCTGTCCATATTCCACTCCATGGCGTCTAGGTGAGCACTAACAAAGGTAAGCTCAGTCGATGCCAATATATGGCCATCGTCGTCCTGTTTTTCGTAGAGCGTCCGAAGGCCCACAGCACCCTTGTTGGCCATATCTCCGGCGCCAAAGCCGACTTCAGCGGCTTGGAGGTTCCGCACGGCGGTGGGCTCCCGAGCGAATAGCATTATACCGGTCATACCAACATTACGCGTCGTTACCAGCGTGTAGGGTCGGTCTTTCGGGCGATGCTGGCGCTCTTCTTCTGCGACAAACTTGGCGGCGGCAAGATTGACGGCGGACTCGTAACGCTGAAAGTACGGGCCTAATACGTAGGAGCCTATGAAGGCTTGAGCCATGGGTGCCATCTCCTGGAGAGAGCTGAACAGCATTGCGTGGTTAGCAAGTGCGCTCTCGCAGTGAGTTACCATTGCATTGTACAATACTTACATGACGAGCAATTCTGGGAGTCTCGAGGCATTCTGTCCAAAAGCATTGTACAAATGTCGAGCAAAGACGGGAATATTAATACGGTGCTTTGCAGCGTTGAAAGTCAGTATGAAGACGTCTAATGTCGGAGTCTCATTCATCGTTACGCTGCGGGTCTAGGCCGGGAGTCGCAGGGTCGCAGGGTCGCAAGATACAAACAGACGCGCGCGTCTCTTGACTGGTGTCGGGATTGTGTCGTTGTATTGGCTGGCAGCCCTGGATTCGAAAAGTTTGGGAATGAAATGTGCTGTATCACCCTCCCCCAGATTACCGGGTCCAATGGGTGCCTAGGCTGCTAGGCTGCTAGGCTGCTAGGTCCCCAGTGGGGTGTAGGGTGCAGAGTGGGCGCTACAGGCTGTACAATACAGGTGAGTAGATTGGTTATGTCATCGAAAGCAAAGTCAACAGCCCATGTTCAGGGTCCTTCCGAATCCGGTATATCGGCTACTATAGAAGAGCTCCTTTACCTGCTTGCAACTTTTTACATGGCCAATTGCCTTACCTTATATACGCAACATTCTTACCAAGGCGGGACCACTGTGACCAGTCTCATGAGCTGT